TCATCAAGAGAAGATGGAAGGAATACAGTCACTGTACAGAAAATAATTTGTCAACATGCAACCATTTTAGAGGTAGCATATGATCATGAATGATGGTACTGAAGGAAGAAGTCCAAGCTGCACTGAAGACATTGGCAAAAAACAAGGCTCCTGGTGATTGGAATGGGAAAGTTGGAAATAGAGAAAAAGGACCTGTAGTTGGAAAATATGGCCTTTGTGATAGAAATGATGCTGGGGGATCACATGATAGAATTTTTGCAAGACCAATGACTCTTTCATTGCAGATACCTTTTTTCAACAACATCAGTGGCTGACTATACACATGGACCTCGCTGGATAGGGTACACAGGAATCAAATCGACTACATCTGTGGAAAGAGACAATAGAAAAGCTCAATATCATCAGTCAGAACAAGTCAGACAATCAATTGCTCATATGCAAGTTCCAATTGAAGCTGAAGAAAATTAGAACAAGTCCACGAGAGCCAAAGTAGGACCTTGAGTATATCCCACCTGAATTTAGAGACCATCTCAAAAGATTTGATGCATTAAAACACTGATGACTGAAGACCAGAAGAGTTGTGAAATGACATCAGGGACATTGTACATGAAGAAAACAAGAGATCATTAAAAAGATAGGAAAGAAAGAAAACACCAAAATGGATGTCAGAAGAGTCTCTGAAACTTGATCTTGAACATTGAGTAGCTAAAGCACTGAAGAAATAATGAAGTACAAGAGCTGAACAGAAGATTTCAAAGGGCAGCTTGAGAAGACAAAGTAAAGTATTATATTGAAATGTGCAAAGACCTGGAGTTAGAAAACCAAAAGGGAAGAACATGCTCGGCATTTCTTCAACTGAAAGAACTGAATAAAAAATTCAAGCCTTGAGTTAAAATAGTGAAGAACTCTATGAGAAAAATACTGAACAATGCAGGAAGCATCAAGAGAAGATGGAAGGAATATACAGAGTCACTATACCAGAAAAATTTGGTTGATGTTCAACAACCATTTCAGGAGGAAGCATATGATCAAGAACGAATCGTACTGAAAGAAGAAGTCCAAACTGTACTGAAGACATTGGTCAATAAGAAGGCTCCAGAAATTGATGGAATACCAGTTGAGATGTTTCAACAAACAGATACAGCGCTAGATGTGCTCACTCATCTATGCCAAGAAATTTGGAAGACAGCTATCTGGCCAACCAACTGGAAGACATATTTATGCCTGTTCCCAAGAAAGGTGATCCAACTGAATGTGGAAATTATCCAATAATATCATTATCACACGCAAGTAAAATTTGCTGAAAATCATTCAAAAGCAGTTGCAGTAGTACTTCAACAGGGAACTGCCAGAACTTCAACCCAGATTTAAATGAGGACATGGAACAAGGAATATCATTGCTGATGTCAGATGGATCCTGGCTGAAAGCAGAGAATATGAGAAAGATATTTACCTGTGTTTTATTGATTGTGCAAAGGCATTCGACTGTGTGGATCATAACAAATTATGGATAACATTGTGAAGAATGGGAATTCCAGAACACGTGATTGTGCTTGTGAGGAACCTATACTTAGACCAACAGGCAGTCATTCTGACAGAACAAGGGGATACTGAATGGTTTGAAGTCAAGAAAGGTATATGTCAGGGTTGTATCCTTTCACCATACTTATTCAGTCTGTATGCTGAGCAAATAATCCAAGAAATTGGACTATATGAATAAGAACACGGCATCAGGATTGGAGGAAGACTCATTAACAACCTGCTATATGCAGATAACACATGTTTGCTTGCTGAAAGTGAAGAGGACTTGAAGCACTTACTGATGAAGATCAGAGATGACAGCCTTCAGTATGGATTATACCTCAACATAAAGAAAACAAAAATCCTCACAACTGGACCAATAAGCAACATCATGATGAAAGGAGAAAAGATTGACGTTGTCAAGGATATCATTTTACTTGTAGCCACAATCAACACCCATGGAAGACGTAGTCATGAAATCATACGACACATTGCATTGGGCAAATCTGCTGCAAAAGACCTCTTTAAAGTGTTAAAAAGCAAAGATGTCATCTTGAAGACTAAGGTGCACCTGACACAAGCCAAGGTGTTTTCATTTGCCTCATATGCATGCAACAGCTTGGCAATGAATAAGGAAGACTGAAGGAGAATTGATGCCTTTGAATTACTATGTGGCAAAGAATATTGAATATACCATGGCTTTCCAGAAGAATGAACAAATCTGTCTTAGAAGAAGTACAGCCAGAATGCTCCTCAGAAGCAAGGATGGTGAGAGTTCATCTCACATACTTTGGACATATTATTAGGAGGAAACAGTCCGTGGAGAAGGATATCATGCTTGGTAAAGGAGAGGGTCACCGAAAGAGAGAAAAACCTGTAACGAAATAGACTGACACAGTGGCCGCAGCAACGGGTTCAAGCATAACAATAATTGTGAGGTTGGCACAGGACTGGTCTGTGTTTGTGTCTGTTGTGCATAGGGTTGCAGGGTCACTATGAGTCAGAACCGATTCAACGGCACTGAAAAGCAACAACAACAATCTTGCCTCATTAATCAAAGGCAGTGATTAACATTTACAATACATAGGAAAATCAGATTAGATCACAAAATGATCAACAGCGACATAATATTGGGAATCATGACCTAACAAAGTTGTTACACATTTTGAGGGTACACAATTTAATCTATAACACCAACTGAGATGTTTCAACACGGATGCAGCACTGGTGTGCTCGCTCATCTGTGTCAAGAAATTTGGAAGACAGCTACTTGGCCAACCAGCTGGAAGAGATCCATACTTGTCCCCATTCCGAAGAAAGGTGATCCAACAGAATGTGGATATTATTGAACAATATCATTATAATATTAATTACCTGCAAGTAAAATTTTTCTGAAGATCATTCAGAAGCGGTTGTAGCAGTACGTTGACTGGGCTCTGCCAGAAATTCAAGCTGGACTCAGAAGAGGGTATTAAAGAAAAGGATATCACTCCTGATGTCAGATGGATCCTGGCTGAAAACAGAGAATATGAGAAAGATGTTTACCTGTGTTTTATTGACTATGCAAAGGCATTCAACTGTATGGATCATAAAAATTGTGGATAACGTTGTGAAGAATGGGAATTCCAGGACACTTAATTGTGTTCATGAGGAACTTGTACTTATCCCAAGAGTCAGTTGTTCGAACAGAACAAGGGCATTCTGTGTGGTTTAAAGTCAAGAAGGGTGTAGGTCAGGGTTGTATTCTTTCACCATACTTAATCTGTATGGTGGGCAAATAATCCGAGAAACTGGACTATATGAAGAAGAATGCGTCATCAGGATTGCAGGAAAACTCATTAACAACCTGCTATATGCAGATGACACAAGTTTGCTTGCTGAAAGTGAAGAGGACTTGAAGCACCTACTGATAAAGATCGAAGACCACAGTCTTCAGTGTGGATTACACCTTAACTTAAAGCAAAAATCCTCACAACTGGACCAATAAGCAACATTATGATAAATGGAGAAAATATTGAAGTTGTCAAGGATTTGATTTTATATGGATCCACAATCATTGCACAGGGAAGTATCAGTCGATGATGCATTGCATTGGGCAAATCTGCTGCCAAAGACCTCTTAAAAGTGTTAAACAGCAAAGATGTACTTTAAGGACTAAGGTGCGCCTGACCCAAGCCATGGTGTTTTCAGTTGTATCATATGCATGAGAAAGCTGGACAATGAATAAGGACTGAAGAAAAATGGATGCCTTTGAATTATGGTGTTGGTGAAGAATATTGAATATACCATGGACTGCCAGAAGAACAAACAAATCTGTCTTGGAAGAACAGCCAGAATGCTCCTTAGAAGCAACGATGACGTGACTTCGTCTCACATACTTTGGACATGTTATTAGGAACAACTACTCCCTGAAGAAGGACGTCATGCTTGGTAAAGTAGAGGGTCAGTGAAAAAGAGGAAGACCCTCAATGAGATGCATTGACACAGTGGCTCCAACAGTAAATCTCAAGCATAGCAAGGATTGTGAGGATGGCACAGGACTGGGCAGTGTTTTGTTCTGTTGTACATAGGGTTGGTGTGAGTCAGAACGGACTTGTTGGCACCTAACAACAACTTAAAATTACTTTTGATTTCTACATATGTATTAGATCAATATGTGTGTGTATGTGTGTATATGGAGCCCTGGTGACGCAGTGGTCAAAGCACTTGGCCATTAACTAAAATGAGAAAGATGCAACAGTCAGCTTCCATAAAGATGACAGCCTTGGAAACCCCAAGAAGCAGTTTCTTGTCTTATAGGGGTGGCTATGAGTCAGAATTGACTCAATGGTAAATGTATATATACCTATGTGTGTGTGTATGTATATGTATACATACATGTATATATACATACGTATATGTACATAAAAAACAGTTGCCATCGAGTCAGTTTTGTCTCATGGCAACCCAAGTGTGTCAGAGTAAACTGTACTCCATAGGATTTTTAATGGCTGATTTTTTTGAAGTAGATCACCAGGCCTTTTTTTTTGAAGGTAACTTTGGGTGAATTTAAACTGCTAACCTTTCAGCAGCTGAGGGCTTAACCATTTGCAGCATGCAAGGACTCTGATTATCCACATAAAAGCCATCTTTTAATAGGTTTATAGTGGAAGTTAGTGAAATTAAACACACACACAAAAAAGCAGAGAACAAACCTGTTGCCATTGAGTTAATTCCTGTTCATAGCGACCCTATAGGACAGAGTAAAACTGCCCAAAGCATTTCCAAGGAGCAGCTGGTGAATTCAAACTGCCGACATTTTGGCTAGCAGTCTCACCCATAACCACTGCCTCACCAGGGCTGCCAGTGAACTTATGCCTTTCAAAATTCTATCTCTAAAATGTGTATTCCTATTATGACAGTGTTTAAATGATTTCTGGAAAAAACCTTTCTCTAGAGTAATGTTCAGTGTCGTAAATTGTTTTTTCATCTTTCCCTAGGGCACTCAAATATTAAAGCATTTCTGAGCCATGGTGGTTTGAACAGTATTTTTGAAACTATGTACCACGGCGTACCTGTAGTGGGAATCCCGCTCTTTGGAGACCATTATGATACCATGACCCGGGTACAAGCAAAAGGCATGGGGATATTGCTAGAATGGAAGACAGTTACTGAAGGAGAGCTGTATGAAGCACTGATGAAAGTTATTAATAATCCAAGGTAAGCTTTCAATTAATATTAAAGCAGATTAGATAGGTATACTACAGTATATTATAAATAACCAATTATTGTCAATAAATTGTCAATAAACCAGTTATGAAAGTATCTTTTAGATTTCTGCATATAATGCCTTATGCATGTTTTCCATAATTTGGAAAATAAAAATAGCAGTCATTGGCAAGCCATGTTATGAAATTGAATATTATTCTGCTATGATTTGCCAAATCTAGAAAGGAACTGCAAAGGGAACTCTCACTGGGTATCTGTAATGTGTCAAATTTTGTGTCCTTTATCTCATTTTAATTCTCATAGTAGCCATATGCCACAGTTTTTGTTATCCACATCGTAGAGATGAGGCATTTGAAACCAGGGCTTCAAACCAGTTCAGACTGATCTGATCATGGCTGATGAAGCAAAACAGGAACAGACTCGAAGTTTTACAATTTGGCAGATTCGGCATGATACCAGGAATGGGAAAAATTACGGGTCAAAGCCCTGGAATGAGAGACTCAGAATAGGTGTAGAGAGCCCTTTCAGGGGTGTGATGTGTGAGATTGAATTGTTGGCAGGGCTGTAGGTGAGTGACATACATTCAAAGCTGCACAGTCATTGGCTGCCATCTTTGAACGGGACACCACCGTCTTTGAGGAGGGCAGCACTGCTTCGGACTGTGCTCAGAATCCCAGGGCAAGAGATTTGGTATACAATGTGTACGCTTCGCTTGTTCTCTAAGAGGGAGACTAAGTTTCTAGCAGGGCTTCGACCTGCAGTTTTTCCTGTTCCAGCTATCTTTCCAGTTTGCTGTAACTTTAAAAATTTAGGTCTGTTCCAGTGTCTCTACTTAGGCCATGACTGAACTTGGCAGAACTGATTTGAATCCCTGTTTGAAACTCGGAGAGCTTAAGTAATTTGCCCAAAGTTACACCGCTGTTAGAGTAGAAATATGAAGCCAAGACTGTCTGATTCCAAAGCTATTATAATTTGTACTGGATAGTAAGCCTGGGTACTGGGTTTTCCTAGCACTGGGTGTCAGTGAAACACTAAGATCTATTTACTCAGGTGAAAGACTAATCAGAACCTTTATTTTATTTTGTTAATTCCTGCTGTGTCCTGAGGTAAACCAGTTCACAAGAGCCTCAAAGGGTGGAGAGGAGGCTTGTGTCGTTGTAAAACAAAGTATCATTTTTCCCCATGTTTAGCCATGATATTTAATTTATCTTGCATTTCAAATGACATTTATGTTTTGAAATTGTGAATTTTTTTCTGTTGATAATCTGTGTGATCTGGTTTAAAACTAGATTGAGAAGCACTGTCCTAAGGAACAACCAACAATAAGAAAAATTCTTTTGTATAAAATGATGCAGTTTTCATCTAAAAGTCTGGATTCAAGCGTACTGAAGGTTCATTATGCTGTCTTTATGTGAGCTCAGAGGTAGCCTTCATGCTCTGGCCTCGTGAAGGAGTCAGTGTCTTGGTTACGGTTCTGGCACTTGGAACAGTATGTTCTCTGACCCAGAGTGCCTGCGTATATCACTTCCTCTGTGTCCTATAGTTTTTTTTTAATCCGTAATGCTTTACAAAACATGATGTTTTTGACAAAAAATGATATGTATTATACAGGGTTTTAAAGGAAGCAACTTTTTAAAGTAGCTCAGTTGCAGAGCTACTGAGGTTAAGTCAGTTATAGAGAAAAGAGCAACCGGCTGGATCATCCTCAGGTAGTCAGTGTTCTCTGAGATACGAGCCCCGTCAAGTCAGAGAGGGGTCAGATTATAATCTTAGGTCACACTGCAATTAAATTCCAGCCATGTAATCTTGCAGCGTATGTGAGTGCTTAATTTCAGAAGATTTTTGACTTTGCACAGTAAATACATTTATAACATTCTGAGAAGTATGCAGATGAGATAAATACTGAGTTAATTGCATATAACCCTTGAAGAATTTAAATATTTAGCTAAAAGTCTTTTGCATGTTCAGGGTCAAAACACATTTTAGTCAATGTAAAAATAACGGTGATTTAGGTATAATGCCCTTTCTAAATGTCATTTTATAAACCAAAGTCATTTAATTTATCTTTCTTTGTTTCAAATACATGACCCTTTTTCACATTTAACATGCAATAATTATTGAAACCGCTAATTCGCTTCACTAATGTGTCCGAGATGTTCTAGTTTAAACCAAGTAATCGATATTGCTAAAGAAACATTTCTTATGTTTTTTACCGATAGCATAAAGAAAATAATTAATAAATACACATCTTATTTCTTCCCTTACTAGTTGTTTGGGTGTATTTAATGAAAGGTTATTGGTTTTTGTTTTGTTCTGCGGGGGGGAGTTCTTTTGAATCTTGAAATTTTATTAATTTACAGCAAGTTATGGAAGCAGATGGGAAATTGATTCTCATTAACTTTGCATTATCCAGCCATTGACTATCGACTTTTAAATGGAAGACACACTTTTGTAAAATGTTATATGCAAGTCAGATGAGCCCCTAACAAGGTAATTGTTTTCATTAATGGGGGCTTTATCCAAGAAATTCCTAGGAATAGTTTAGAGGTGGTTTGAGTGGCTATTTCATTGTAATCACATTATTCTTTGTTTTCAACATTCATATTCTTTTTTATTTATTGTACTTTAGATGAAGGTCTACAGAACAAACTTGCTTCTCATTAAATAGTTCATATATAGTTTTATGACATTGGATAACAACCCCACGACATGTCAACGCTCTCCGTTCTCGATCTTGGGTTCCCTATTACCAGCTTTCATGTCCCCTCCTACCTTCTAGTCCTTGGCCCTGGGTTGCTGTGCCCCTTTAGTCTTATTTTGTCCTATGGGTCTGTCTAATCTTTGTCTAAAAGGTGAACCTCTGGAATGACTTCATTACTGAGCTACAAGGGTGTCTGGGGGCCATGCTTTCAGAATTTCTCCAGTCTCTGTCAGGCCAGTAAGTCTGGCCTTTTTTTTTAGTTAGAATTTTGTTCTACATTTTTCTCTTGCTCTGTCCAAAACCCTCTATTGTGATCCCTGTCAGAGCAGTCAGTGGTGGTAGCCGAGCACCATCTAGTTATACTGGACTCAGTCTGGTGGAGGCCGTGGTATAGTTGTGGTCTATTAGTCCTTTGGACTAGTCTTTCCCTTCTGTCTTTAGTTTTCTTCATTCTTCCTTGCTCCTGAAGGGGTGAGACCAGTGGAGTATCTTAGATGGCTGCTCACAGGCTTTTAAGACCCCAGACACTACTCACCAACGTGGAATGTAGAACATTTTCTTTATAAACTATGTTATGCCAGTTGAACTAGATGTTCCCTGAGACCATGGTCCCCACAGCCCTCAGCCCAGTTATTCAGTCCCTAAGGGAGTTTGGATTTGTCCATGGAGCTTCTGTGACCTTACCCTGAACAAGTTGTGCTGGTTTCCGCAGTACTGTGTACTGTCTTACCCTGCACCAAAGTTACCACTTATCTATTGTCTATTTAGTGTTTTTTCACCCCTACCCCTCCCTCCCTTGTAACCATTGAAGGTTGTTTCTTTTTGTGTATAAACCTTTTCATGAGTTTTTATAGTAGTGGTCTCATACAATATTTGTCCTTTTGTGATTGTCTTATTTCATTCAGTATAATGCCCTCCAGATTCATCTATGTTGTGAGATACTTCGCAGATTCATCATTGTTCTTTATCATTGCGTAGTATTCTGTTGTGTGTATGTAGTATAGTTTGTTTATCCATTCATCTTTTGATGGGCATCTAGGTTTCCATCTTTTTGCTATTGTGAACAATGCTGCAGTGAACATGGGTGTGCATATGTCTATTTGTGTTATGGCTCTAATTTCTTTAGGATATATTCCTAGGAGTGGGATTGCTGGATCATATGATGTTTCTATTTCTAGCTTTCTGAGGAAGCGCCATACCATTTTCCAAAATGGTTGTACCATTTTACATTCCCACTTGCAGCGCCTAAGTGTTCCAGTCTCCCCGCAGCCTCTCCAACATTTGTTATTTTCTGGTTTTTTGATGCGTGCCAGTAATGCTGGGGTGAGATGGTATCTCATTGTGGTTTTAATTTGCATTTTTCTAATGGCTCATTTCCTCCTGTTAGCTGCTTGAATGTCTTCTTTGGTAAAGTGTCTGTTCATTTCTTTGCCCATTTTGTAATAGGATTATTTGTCTTTTTGTGGTAGGGGTGTTGGGTTTTCCTGTATATTTTAGAGATTAGATCTTTGTCAGATTTGTAATAGCTAAAAATGTTTTCCCAGTCTGTAGGTTCTCTTTTTACTCTTTGGTGAAGTCTTTGATGAGCATAAGTGTTTCATTTTTAGAAGATCCCAGTTATCTAGCTTATCTTCTGGAGTTTGTGTGTTGTTAATTATGGTTTGTATCCTGTTAATGCCATGTATTAGGGTCTCTAGATCCTATTTTTTTCTTCTATGATCTTTATAGTTTTTGATTTTATATTTAGATCTTTGATCCATTTCGAATTAGTTTTCGTGTATGGTGTGAGGTATGTTTCATTTTCTTTGCAGATGGACAGCCAATTTCACCAGTACCATTTGTTAAAAAGATTATCTGTTCCCCATTTGATGGACTTTGGGCCCTTGTCGAAGATCAGGTGACCATAAGTGGATGGATTTACATCTGGGTTCTCAATTCTGCTCCATTGGTCAATGTACCTGTCGTTGAAGCAGTACCAGGCTGTTTTGACTACCATAGCTGTGTAGTAAGTTCTGAGGTCAGGTAGTGTGAGACCTCCTACTTTATTCTTCTTCTTCAATAATGCTTTACTTATCTGGGGCCTCTTCCCTTTCCATATAAAGTTAATGGTTGTTTTTTCTGTCTTTTTAAAGAATGTTGTTGGTATTTGGATCGAGATTGCATTGTATTTGTAGATTGCTTTGGGTAGAATTGTCATTTCTACAATGTTGAGTCTACTTATTCATGAGCATGGTATGTTCTTCCATTTATGTAGATCTCTTTTGGTTTCTTGCTGTAGTGTTTTGTAGTT